TTAATTTCATGGTTCACACACCAGACCTTCTCAACAGAGACGAATCCACGAGTCGCCATGGAAACAGACGCTGAGAAAAAGCGCGCCATACGACTACTTTCTTCTTGTGTTAAATGCTGATTTACATAGTGCATATCGCCTCCTATTTGGTGATTGTGCAATCATTTTAAAATCTTTAAATCATGTTTATGAGATGAGCATTAGCTATATATTATAATAAACTGAACATGAGCTTGTTGTAACAGCGCTTTATATAGATATAAGTGTCAGGCCCACTGGAGCCTCATCAATAGAGACGCATGCGCTGAACACCTCTGGAGTAAACTGACCCTGGATCAGAACCAGCTCCGGAGCTGCTATGGCTACTGATGAGAGAGAGAGCTGTGCGAGAGAGAGAGAATGAAGCTCAGGATTTTATAGGCGATTTGATACACACGATTTTGATGAAGTTAGTAGGGATTTTTATTTTAGTTTGAAAACAGAGGAATATCTGCAAATTGATAAAGCCTCTGTGTTGAGGGTTTTACAAACCACCCAAAAACTAAAAGCCGTGGGCTTGATAAAGTCAGTGGAGAGTTTTGAGGAGCTGTGCTTATCAGCGCTGTGATATCAGGCATTTCATTTTTCAGACCTCATTGAGATTACAGAGAGTGCCTTCAGTTGTTTCTATCAAAAGCTAGATCAGTGTTTATATCTGAACTTTAAACTTTTATCCCATTACTTCTATTTAAGCTGTTTCATGCCAACTCTCTCTGGGTCAGCGGCAGCGCCAACACAGATGTAAAGTGTTGCGATGTGATTTAGTCAAAGGTTTAATAGAGGAATTGTAAGAAGATGGTGTGTGTGTGTGAATGGAGATCACAGTATTGTAAAGCTGAATCGGTCAGCTCTACTGTCTTATCTCTCTCTCAGCATATGAGCAGTGCGAGGGCTTTCAGTGCTTCAGTCTCACGCCGCTTCCACACGTCCACTAGACAGGGATATTACGACACTCATAGATAACCACACGCTTCAGCCTCTGTTGGAGCAAGCTGGGTTTTCATGTTTTATGGGGACTTTCCATAGAAATACTGATTTTTATTCTGAACAAACTGTATATTCAATCCCCTAATCATAACTGATGTATTTTAACAAAGTGAACTGATGAGTATTTCTATACATTTCATGTTGACAGCATTATGTTATTTATTGTTTAAGTGTTATATTTATCTCTGGATAAAGGCTTAACCCTTGTGTTATCTTCATTTGGGGCCGACACTAGTTATCTTTGGGGTCTCCAGGGACCCCAGACAATAACATTTAATTTTGTAACAGAATCATTTTTTTTTTTTTTTTTTTTTTTTACAAATGTAATTTGACTGTAATTTTGATATATTTAAAATTTCTATAAATAAATAAATATTTATTTAAATAGGCTTTTTACAAAAAAACAGCATTTTATGTAAAATTCACTTTATAAAAGACCCAGATTTCTGACTTTCATTCATGGGGATAACCTGGATAACTTTATATGGTTTAATGTATGATTTGTGCCCATTTTTTTGGAAAATGCAGTTTTAAAATAAAAAATAATAATTTTAACCACTAGATGGCTATAGAGCTCCACTATTTGCTATTCGACTAACTACATATATCTTTTCACAAGTTGGATTCAGTTGGATTCATACCTAAATATTATAAAATCACAATTATAACAAAAATAAAATACTTTTGTCAAAGTTTAGCATTTTTGTACTGAAAAATGTTTTCAATAATGTTATGATTAGAATCAAACCTGAACAATGTTACAAAGATACATTTTTAGATTTTATTATTTACAGTTTTTTACAATCACTTTGCTACTATTTTCAGAACATTGATGTCATTTTTCAAAACTCTAGACACAAAACTCAAAACGGTTATCACTTGTAACACAGGCTGTCTAATGTTCAAAACATTGCATTGCGCATTCACATCTTTAAAGAAATCTTGCACTTGCACAATCATTGGTTCAAAAAACAAATTTACTGTGAAATACCATTGAAACATAACTATAGATCACCCACACACAAGCAACCGATAGTTTCACTGTGTCATTGTTCGTACAATCATTAAATATTGTAGAACAAAATAGGTGATACAGGTTTCATTATGGTCTACATGTACAGTAAATACATCTCTGTAAAAGTACTGCAGTAGTAGAGAGAATACAGACATAGTGGAATCATTGAACAAAGTGTGTAATATATTGATGCAAAACACTAAAGTACAATCACAACATAGGTTTATTGGAATCAAAGCAAAAATATAAAATATTAGGCTACATCCATGGATATTGTAGTCTAATTGGTTCATGCTCCATGCTAATTGGTGACAATGAATCTCATTATCTTGAAACTTTCATGATTTACTGTAAACATGGAAGATTGTGTGTCTGTTTCCATACAACATATGCATTAAGAGTAATGCAACAGTTACTTATCATTTTGAGCAGTTGTATCAATTGATAGTTAGATCATTGTAAGGAAATGAATAGACACTCATTTGAAATGTAATGTGTGAATTGCCTTTTGAAATAGTAGTACTGTAATGTTAAGTTGTGTCATATTGAACAGGTGATCTTTGTTGAATGAACAAATGATCTAAGTTTTATGTGTATTGTATCCAAGCAATTGAGAAAAGGGTTAGAGTTTTGAAAAATGTGCATTTTGATCATTGGTTGTGAGTAGGGATGGGACGATTACCGGTTTCAAGATAAACCACGATAAAATGTCCTGGCGGTTAGTATTATCGTTTAAAATTTAATTATCATAAAAACCGTGTTTGATTATCGTGATTTTGAAAACTCGCGGTAAATCCTGTCCAGCCAGAATCAGTCTGACGCAGGCGCGCAGATGCAATGTTGTTTTTTTGCGCGAGAAGACATGGCGGAAGGCAGTGACAGCGCACGGGAGATTTTTCAGCCATTAAAGAGGACAAAATCGGAGGTATGGTCGTATTTTGGCTATTACAAGAGTCCCAAGGGCAATTTAATCGAGGATGGGCACCCTGTCTGCAAATCTTGCAAGAGGAAAGTCGCTGCAAAAGGGGGAAACACGTCAAATCTGCTAAGTCATCTAACGTTACGTGACAACCACCCACTGAGTTAATTTTTACGTTTAATACCACAACTAACTTGGGCAAATAATTAGACAAATTTATTGGAGATCAATTATTTCATTATCTCACTTGTAATTATTGCAAAGCTTCCGCGAAGAGAAAAGTTTTACAGCAAGTGGATTTGAGCCAGACGAACGAACATATTCAAACTATTAAGGGTGACATAAGGGATAATGTATTGTATTCATTCATAGTAAACTTATTACAGTTTTATTTTTTATTTTTTTTTACCACAGAAATAATTTCAGGGACATGAAATATTGAATTGTGGTTAACTTAATGTTTTTAAATCTTACCGGTTTATAAATCCATTATACAAGTTACAGTGTCCAAATCAATCATAAAGTAAATGTGATCACTACAACAATATTGTAGTAGTATTAATACTAAATTACTCTGATTTAATTTTCAATACAATCAAAACTGAGACGCAAGACATACACATTTGAATGAAACCAGAGATTGTGTCCACGGTGATCCGAGACATGGATGTGCGCTGTGTAGTGCGTTGCTATTTACAACAGTCATTATAAGTATTCCAGTAGTTTAGTCACCCTGACCCAACCAACATATTTTGTTCATTTAAGTGTGTGTGTGCGCGCGCGCGCGCGCGTGTGTGTGTGTGTGTGTGTGAGAGAGAGAGAGAAAGTGATTTATTATTTATTAATAGCCTAATAATAATATTCAGTCATACACGTATTACACACATCCATAAGTGTTATTATCATTATTAATGATAGGGTTTAATGACGAGTTCATTAAAACCTGCACTAGGAAAACTTATACCTCTCACTCTCAGGGCTCCATGTTAATGTTAATGTTAATATAATGTTTATGCTTAAAAAAGTGCATATAGCTGCTAATTGTATTTTTTGTTTGTTGATTTTCAAATGTTTTCAGGGTGAGCATCAGTTCTTTTTGAACATTTCCATCTCATTTTAACAAAACCGTGATAATATTGATAATCGTGATAACTTTGGTCACTATAATCGTGATATGAAATTTTCATACCGTCCCATCCCTAGTTGTGAGTTTTGTGTCTAGAGTTGTGAAAAATGACATCAAGGTTCTGAAAATAGTAACAAAGTGATTGTAAAAAACTGTATTTCAATCGTCTGTTTTTAATATAATTCTAAATTTTTAATCAACATTTCAGTTACTAACTAACAGAACAAAAATTAACAGAAATGAACAGTTATATTACATATTGAGTAAAAATACATGACATGAACAGCAATAACAAATGAGTTTTTTATAGCCTTACAAATGTATTCCTTTGTGTGTGTGTGTGTGTGTGTGGTGTGTGGTGTGTGTGTGTGTGTGTGTGTGTGTGTGTGTGTGTGTGTGTGTGTGTGTGTGTGTGTGTGTGTGTGTGTGTGTGTGTGTGTGTGTGTGTGTGTGTGTGTGTGTGCACATTTTCAATGTGTCAGTGTCACCAATTTATTTTTGTTATGTTTCTGCATTTTGGATGATTTTATTTTACAAATGATAAGAGAACAGTTTGTATACGTATATATATATATATATATATATATATATATATATTAATATGTATATATTTCTGTCTATGTGTTCTGCGTTGTTTCTGATTTTGATGATGAATTTTGTATATTTACTATGCGGGGTCTCCAGGGACCTGAAGACAACTAGTGTCACTATCTTTTTCACGCTAACATAAAAACAGAAATCATTACAATTTTTTTTTTTTTTTTTTGTAGATCTAGAAAGTGTTGAGAGCCGTAGAAAGTTTCATACCATTTGGACAAAGAGAATTATTTTAAAAATTTGAGCAAAAGTCATTTGCGGGTTAAAAAGACCCCGAAGAAAACCAGAGGCTTAATGTGTGTCATTGTTCTCTACAGGTTGAGTGGTTGTGGAGTCACAGATGAAGGTTGTGTTCCTCTGGCTTCAGCTCTGAGATCAAACCCCTCACACCTGAGAGATCTGGATCTGTCTGTGAATAAACTAGGAGACTCAGGAATAAAGCATCTTTCTGCTCTACTGGAGAATCCTCTCTGTAAACTGGAGACACTGGGGTAAGATCATCTCTACCATAAAGACTCTGAGTGAATAAGGATTAATATGTAGATAGTGTATATAATATATGTGTGGCGTAAGCCCCATCCGGGGTTAAAAATAACAATAATGCTATCAGTCAAATTCATCTTTACTTTGTTTATTTTGTGTTATTTTTGAGAAAGAAGAATCACTCCATCACATACAAAAGGAACAATTACACTTAATGCGACCAGTTTGAAATAATGGTGACACTTTATCACAAGTATACAGTAACTCAGCGCTTATAAATCATTTGCAAACTATTAGTTTATAGTTCACGAATAGTATATAAGCTGTTGTTAAATTAATTATTACTAGATTGTTGTCATGAAACAACCGGACACAGATAGATCCAAGTGCAGCGTAGGTTTAATTACAGGGTAGTCAGACAGGCAAGGGTCACAGACAGCAGACACAGCATAGGAGACAAAGCTAAATCGTGGTCCAAATACCGGGCAAGAGATCAGAGGCTGGCAGCAGACGATACGAAATCCAGGAACACAGGCAGAAGGTCGGGAAACACAGGCAGGATATCAGGCATGGAAATGCTCTAAAGCAGACTAGGAAACACTAGAAATAGACCACGACAGTGACATACAGTCATACAATACTACGCAAAGAGTGATAGTGACAGTGAGGTATAAATGTGTGTGGAGCTGCGTGTGGAACTAGATGCAGGTGTGAGAGTGATCAGTGGAAACAGGTGTGTGAGTAATCAGTCCAGGGTGTGTGCGTGAACAGTCCAAGGGAAGGCAGTGCAGAGGTGGAGCGCCCTCTCGTGGCACTCGAGGGCAATCCAGCCGAACATCGTCACAATTGTAGAGCCCGACTGATATATCGGCGGGCCGATATTAGGCATTTTCCAAACTATCGGTATCGGCATTTATAATGGCCGATAAATGAATATTTTAAAAAATGCGGGTGAGGTGATTCATGTAAGGGTGGCGCTGCCAATAAAGCACCTAAAAGCTGTCACAAAGAACTGGCAAAAGTAATGATTATGAATACAACAAATATAGCAAGTAGGGGTGTAAATCGGAGCCTACATGGCGATTCGATACGATACCGATTTCTTAAGCCAACGATTCGATTATTTTCGATACTTCAGAATTCCCCGCGATACGATTCGATTCGATACGATTCAATAATCGATATTTTTACATGATATCTATTAAGTTTCAAATAAATCAACAAATTTTTTTTATAATTTGCCTTTTATTGAGAATACAGGAACAGTATTCTATTCACATAATGTGTATATTGTGCTCAATGCACTGCAAATAGAACAGCAAATATAACAGTTACTGCATACAGTTCAAAACTTGATTCTATCGAATCCTGGTGCGTTTCCGTGCATCTTACGTCATCGCAAACGTGCACGACGCATGATAGAAAACAGAACGCGGGTCAATATATTGTGTTTTTTTATTTTATTTGGTGCTATTATGCACAGCTGAGTGAACAACACCGGTTTACTGTGTGTCGCATTTGGCTTTTTGCTGATTGCAAACGCAGGAGACAGTGGATTTCCATTAATTTGTTGCCCTGAGTCCACGCGCTATGTGTGTGCGAATACAGACTCACTCTCGCTCTTATCCAAGGTAAATTATCAACACTATCATCCCTTACATGTGTTTTATTTAACTAAATACATCATAATCAGCTAAAAAGCATGCGCAGGTCACTTACTTCCTGAACAAGTGCGCACCCGAGTCCGTGATGCTTTCACATTCACGCGAGCCGCGGCACGGTTCGAGTGCAACCGAACTCAGCGCACCTCCTCCAGGCAGTCTCGGGTTTGGTACCCCAGTGCGCACCCGGGTCCGCATGACAGACAGCGTTTACATAATTAGCGATTTTTCATGCGAACCGTGCCCGTTCCGATCCGAGTTGGTGTAAAAGCACCCTAGACTTTTCAAGTAAGCTGTTGAAGTAGCCTTTTGTACACATTAGCGCCTGTTTGTTTACGTTAGTAACTGCTAGTTTGGAGTTCGCCAACTAAGTGACTGAGGGTGCATTCACACTGGCAGTTTAGTTCGGTGACTAACTAACGTTAGCCCAGTGCATAACAACAATCGTTTGTACGCATATGAGCGGATGCTGAAAATAGACAGGCGGCAAAACAAACACATTAATCGATACTCTTGCGGACGCATCGATGCATCGAATCGTCGGCTGTATAATCGATACGAATCGATTAATATTTACACTCCTAATAGCAAGGAGACATTTTAATTGTTTATTAATAAACAAGTGTTTTCAGTCAGTGTCAGCCAAAGATGAAGTTGACGAGGCTGACTCGCAATCTTCAGTGAAGATAGAGAGAAATGCACATTTCATACGATTACATGAGTCTGTCTGTCTTTCGTTTTGAATTGTTCTGTTTAAAAGTAGACATTTCAATATAGATATATTTCAATTCTCAGGTCTATACGCTGAGTTTCGGTTCATGAGACGAGCTCCAGTTCACCCGCAGGCGCCTCCGTGTCGAGATTATCTATCGTCTGCTATATTTACTTCTTAAATCCAGGCAATTGGTTGATGAAACATTGATTAAAATTAAGATACAATTAATACAAAACGAAATTCACTTTGAAACGAAAGGTTTTGTGCTTTCTGTTTGATGTCTATGTGAAAGTTTCAAAGCATATTTTAGTGCCGCTTTCAGAGCGCTCACGTCCGTAGTGCTGAACTGTCGCGTCTGTAACATTGTTTTTTCCTCATAAATGCGAACACGAAAAATAAAATGAATATTTTATGTAGCCTGTGGAGACTGAGAGCCAACCCTTCTTCATCCGGTGGGTAGTAGCCTACTTGTGATTTGCGCGGTGTAATTCACAGAATTGATTTCTCTGCTACAAGCCTCTGTCACGTATTGTGTGAGCTTGTGACTATTGCAAGCGCGCAGCTGAGAAGTCCTGATTATATTGTCTGCTATATTTAGGCCTACTTCTTATTTATTAAGGCAATTGGTTGATGAAACATTGATTAAAATGCGTGGCGCGAGCGATCTTCGACAGTAAACTGATTCTGCTTTGTCTACGGTAAACAGCTGTTGCGACGCGAGCAGTAACGGCCGTGTCCGGTGTGTAGACACAGTGTTAAAGCTCATTCTGCCTGATAACGCTACGTTTCAACATCAAGCAATATTCCAAAAATGTATATAATTATAACACTTTATATAGGGCCATTTTGCATTAAGAGTAGCCTAGTTTCACGTTTAATACATTTTGCTTACTAATTATTTAAAATAGTATAAAAGTACTGTATACATATGTAATTAAAAACGTTTTCATTATGATATTATTAATTTTACTTTAGTAAAAAGATCTGAGTTCTTCCTCCACTGGTAGAGATTAGAGGAATTAAGACTAAAAATAGAAGATAATAAGGTTTTGTCAGTGACACTTTTTATATATTTATTGATACGTTATGACTAAATTAAAAGACAAAGTCGTTTGTGAAGATTATGCAACAGTATTTAGAATATAATATAATATAACATGCAATGCAAACTAGTTTGGTTACAGCTCAACTGTATAATTTAGAGCCCTGCACGGGCCTCAAATCTAGGCCCTAGCCCGGCCCTGGCCCGAGACGCTCAGGCCCTAGCCCGGCCCGTGTCCGACAGCTCATTAGAATGATCAGCCCGAGTCCGACCCGAGCCCGTTAAAAAAAAAAAAAAAAAAAAAAAAAAAAAAAAAAATATTCACAGCCTGCCCTATGTTGCAGTCAGTAAAACAGATATTTTTTGTTCTCAATGGCAAAGTATTTACCAGTAAGTTTATTTTCATTTCTTTATAAAGTTAATTTAGAAAAATGTTTTTTTTTTTTTATGACGACCAAGCAGCCGACAGTGAGTTAAACATGTTTGATCCATTTATAGCCTCTCAAATCAACACTTTACTTGGCTACAATACAATCCATATATATAAAACAACTTAAGCATATCACACAGACAGTTAACTTTGTTTAAACGTTTATTGTCATTTTTGAAAAGCTGAGGCAAACTGCTCTGCTGCTCAGTCGCAACAGCTCTCGCAAACTAAATGAGTTTACAATACAATACAGAGAATGCAATCTAAAAAAATCAAATAAATTACATTAAAAACAAACATGCAGGTTATCTTACCTCAAAAATCAAGTCTTCACCACAGAACATGGCCATTCTTATTTCCAATAGTTTTCAACAGACTCATGAAAATAAAGTCCAATCAAACAAAAAACAACCTCCTAACATGGCTAAGAACAGTCTCAGAGCATCGTGAAGAAAAAGCACAGCATCCACAGTGGAAGGTTTTAATCCAGTCGTACTTTTTCCAGCTGCGCTGAAGTCACGCTCGCCACCGGGACACTAAACACAGAACGAGCCGGTCGCACGAATCTCAGATCGCGCCGCCGGGAAACCTGTGTGCGTGTGCGTGAGCAGACTGTCATGTGTCAGTCATGTCAGTGTGATAGGTTATAAAACGTCTTTCTATGTTTGCTTTTCAATCGTCATCTTCTCATATTTTATTTTAATTAATGTCTAAAATAGGCTATAAAAAAAGATAAGCCTAAAACAGGCCCGAGGCCCGGCCCGCGTGTGAACTATGACGTGAAAATTGGCCCGAAGCCCGGCCCTAGAAGCGTAAATAAGTCGGGGCCCGTCGGGCTCGGGCTGAAATGCAGGCCTCTAGTATAATTCTCATTATATCATTCCCCCTGCCTCCATTACATATCTGTGTCACACAAGAGTTTGATCACCACATTTGAGTGATCATTGCAAAACGTGTTTATAAAATATATTTATTCTGTTTATACTGTGTAAAGTACCCATCAAAAGTTTGTACACACCAATAGGAAAGTGTCCAAACTTTTGACTGGTATACTGTACTATAATACACATAAATAATATTGCTACTGTATTATAATATACACATAAATAATATCGGCATCAGACTTTTTTTACTCCCTAATATCGGTATCGGCATCGGCCCCCAAAAATCCATATCGGTCGGGCTCTAAAAGATTGTATTATTATTATTATTATTAGACTATATACAAATAATTGGGTGCCGATACTATAAGTGTTGTGATTTTTAAGAATAGCGATTCTACAATATTGTGATTCGATATTGCAATGTATTGTGATTTGTTTTTAACACTAGACTATGGAGAAAAGTTAAATCATACACTTATACAGACTGTACATGATTAATAAGATGAGTCATATTTACAAAAACAATTCATCACATCTCTGAGTTTTATTTATATGACTATTTATATGACTATGTATTTATAAATACATTTTTTAACAGTCACTTGTCGCCACCTAGTGGCAAAACAATGTAATTGATAAATGCATTATTTTAACGCATGATTCAACCGATGATTTTGTCAAAGGTTTAATAGACAGACGAATTGGAAGAAGATTGTAAAACAGTAAACAAAAAAATTGCGATAGTTTGGTGAATAATTTTTTTCTCCCAGCCCTAACACACGCACACACGCACACATTCCTTTAAATGTTTACAAATACATTAAGCACACACACACACACACGTTTTCCATGTTTTATGGGGACTTTCCATAGAAATGATTTTTATACTGTACAAACTGTATATTCAATCCCCTAATCATAACTGATGTATTTTAACAACATGAACTAATGAGTATTTGTATATATTTCATATTGACAGCATTATGTTATTTATAGTTTAAGTGTTGTGTTTATCTCTGGATATAGGCTTAATGTGTGTCATTGTTCTCTACAGGTTGTGGAGGTGTGGAGTCACAGATGAAGGTTGTGTTGCTCTGGCTTCAGCTCTGAGATCAAACCCCTCACACCTGAGACATCTGGATCTGTCTGGGAGTAATCTAGGAGACTCAGGAATAAAGCATCTTTCTGATCTACTGGCGAATCCTCTCTGTAAACTGGAGAGACTGAGGTAAGATCATCTCTACCATAAAGACTCTGAGTGAATAAGGATTAATATGTAGATAGTAGGGGTGTGACGAGATCTCGTCGAGTGAAAAGCTGTCTCGCGATATCGCCATGACTGAACGTGAGATTACCATAGAATATTCCACCGCTACACTCACATTCGCCTAAACTATCGTTTTGTTGTTTTTATAAAAAAATAAGAACCATTATAAACTAATGTAAAATTCTGCTCTGCTCATCCAGCGCGAGTTGCCGTTGCAATCAGTGCCGCACGAATCACAGTTCACTGATCGCGTGACGATGGCGGAGGATTCGTTGCGCAACATAGACTAACGTCTGATACATGTCTAATCTTGTAGAGTGTGCGCTCAGCACCGCTGCTCCCTATACACGAATCCGACGAGCGTTCTGTGTAGGCTGCCATCTTGTGGCGACGCCATTACTGAGCTGTTAGCGGTATGTAAACAAACCTCCGTGATAACGCACCCTCGATGACAGCTACAGCCAGGCAGAATGACTTGTTGGGTTGATGATGTTAGACAGTGGCCTCCAGTCACAGATGAAGGTACAAACGATCTTACAGATTATTTATGAAAATAGCTTGGCAAGCTAGCTAGGCTAACGTTAGCTAACGAGGAAACTATAAAAAGATCTGTCCATTTGGCAACAATAAATAAATGAATGACATCAAATAAACAAATTCATGTTTTTCATTTGTGTCCATTATTTATCTAATTTTCACATTGCAAAAGGCAAGGGTAAGGTACAGCTAGAAAGTATTCATAATATCGACCAATTAGTGTTTTTAAACCATGGAAAGAGGTCAGTATAACAGCAGGAGAACAATTATGTCACATAACGTTACATTTAGCTCAGGAAAGCCATTTAATGACCATAGCATGTTAATTGAATAGAAAAAATAGCTAGAGAGGAGATTTTGCTGAGCACTATATTACATATTTATTATATTTTTTACTTATGTCATTAAATAATTGTTATTATAACAAAAACTGCATTATATTTAATTTAATTTGTTAGTTTAATTTGTTATTTAAAAAAAATTCTGTCACAGTCAAGCAAATCAAACATTAACAACAGACATAACAGTAATGTTACTAACGTCACTGCCCCAATGCGCCCTTTACTGCCGCCATTGAAACAATTTAAACCGGAACATGTTTTCCCACTCGACATTATAAAAGTTGTAACGTTAGTGACAGTCGTAAATCGCGGGCTGTTTATTCCAGTGGACGCAAGTTGCAAGTAAAACAATAGGAGGCAATGGCGCAACGCTACCCAGCAACAGCTCAGTTATGGCGCCCGCTTACTTCCGGTAGTTTCGCCGGATTCGTCTATACACAGAGTACACGCGGTCACGAATTTGAAAGTGAAGGGTAAAACACAAGCTCCCTGATGTGCATTGCGCACAAATTAGGCTGCATATACATACAATAGTCTGTCTCCCAATACCCATCTCTGGACTGTTTATTTGCGGCTATGGTCTCAGTTTGCACTGTGAATATTGAGAGAGTACTGTAACGTATAAAGGACAACAGACAATTGAGGCTCCGTTTCTGAACTTATAATGGGAACGCAAGAACAACTGTAGAGACAAACACACCAGCCTCGTTTCTCTCTACCTATACCTATAACTGCTGGTGCAAAATAAAACCGCAATTTCACAACAATTATAAAGAGTCTGTGTGCTAACTTTGATTATGGTTGCACTTGCACTTATTGTTTGCACTTAATAAGACTTAGAGAAAACTGTTATTTATTTTTGTTATTTATACTGTTTTTATTTCTCTGTTAAATGTGTGTTAAAAGGAGTTCAGTTAGGAGGTCACACACAGCCTCAATCAGAAGTTCTGAAAGCTCTTAAATGTACAGTAAGGTCTGAAGAGACTAATGTGAAATCATACAGGAGAAAAGCCAGTCAATAAAAACCCTTTACAGTGCTTGTATATTGTTTTCTTTCAATGCATTTGATAATTCATACTCATAAAGTAGACCTGAAATGACATGCATTAGAAGATTATTAGTTAAAACATTGAAAAATGCACCTGCATACTATTTTTCCAGTCATGAATTTTGTCATTGAGGATTTCTGAAAAATTGTGCAAAAATCTCGTCTCGTTCTCGTGAGATAAGCGTCTCGTCACACCCCTAGTAGATAGTGTGTACAATATATGTGTGGCGTAAGCCCCATCCGGGGTTAAAAATAATAATAATGCTATCAGTCAAAGTCATCTTTACTTTGTTTATTTTGTGTTATTTTTGAGAAAGAAGAATCACTCCATCACATACAAAAGGAACAATTACACTTAAAGGTCCCGTTCTTCGTGTTTTTTTGAAGCTTTGATTGTGTTTACAGTGTGCAATATAACATGTGTTCATGTTTCGCGTGTAAAAAAACACATATTTTTCACACAATTTACTTATCTGTATACCGCTGTTTTCCCTGTCATAAAAACGGGCTGATGACTTCCTTGTTCTATGAAGTCCCTCCTTCAGAAATACGTAACGAGTTTTGATTGTGCCAGCGGTTCCTGTGTTGTGATTCGACAGCAGCTTATCGCACGTTGCCCGGAAGGGTCACGCCTCTTACCATAACGTGGAGATGCATGCGCTGATTATTGTAAACATGTCAAACATATTACCGTATCAATTTGAGCCGGAATCAGACCCGGAGAACATAGATGAAGAGAATCGAGTAGAGCCTGTTCAAGCACGCCTTTTGCAGGATGTTTCACAGTGGTAAGCTGTTTATTTAGTAGTTGTCATACTTTTATGTTTGGCTGTTACCTTTAATTAGTTAAATTGTAATATTAAATGTTACAAACTGTTATAAAAGCTTGTGGTATATGGTTTTGTCCGTCTGTCGAATTAACGATGGTGTTGTTGAATTTTTAAAATAAGTGCATTGTTTATTCCTACCTTAGTTACACGCGAGCACGAGTTTTGATTAGTAATATATGTTTTATAGTTGTAGTCCTACATGTGGTAACTGTGACAAAATGCCAACGGAGGTTGAAAACATCTGCTGCAAAGAAATACAAAAAGTACTGTAACACCACCTAATTAAAACTTTTGAAATTGTTTTCATCCAAACAACTTTATATAAATACACTTTATTTTTTACCATGAATATAGCCTTAAAAGCTGCTATGTTGTGTAAAAGAAATCGTTGCCATGCATTACAATAATTTATTTATTAAAAGTTGAATGTTACGTGACTGCTGCACATTAAATTATTACTGACTCACATCAACGAAACTCTTCCTCTTCTCCGTGGGAGCGCAACAAGACAACGCCCCCTTTTTTGTGTATATTCCTGTAGGCGGAGATTAGTCAAAAAACTGTTTTAGTGACGTCATTAAAAACGGAAGTAGAGGGATGTAGTCCAAACCGGCCGTTTGCTGTAGGCTTTGAAAGGGGAATTCTGTTAAATAAAATATCTCGCTAGGCATTGAACTTTGAGCTTTATAATTTTACAGTTATTATTTATGCTCTAACAGCAACATTACTCACTAACTAAAGTTTGAAACATGGAATCACGAAGAACGGGACCTTTAATGCGACCAGTTTGAAATAACGGTGACACTTTATCACAAGTATACAGTAACACAGCGCTTATAAATCATCCGCAAACTATTAGTTTATAGTTAATGAATAGTATATAACAGTATATAAGCTGTAGTTAATATATGAATCAGTATTACTAGATTATATTATTATTATTAGACTGTATACAAATAATTGGGATAAATGTCTGGTCTCTCTCTCAGTATATGAGCAGCGCGAGGGCTTTCAGTGACTCAGTCCAGTGTTGACAACTATGTTCAGAGGAAAGTAGCTAACGCCTTCCCTAAGGGGCTGTTCACACCTGGCCACTTCAAGCGTTTTCTGTGATGGGATAGCTATCCGATCGTGAAGAGACCAGGTGTAAATGCCCTGCGAAACACATTCCAGACGGATCCGATCGCTCAAACCACTTCAGGAGGAGGTCTGAGACCGTTCCAGACCAAACTGGACAAGTGTAAATGCATCTGGTTGTTGAATCCACATATGTACATTTTACTCCTCCCAAAAATGCTAAAAAATAAACATGTGAGAGCGTGTTATAGGCTTATGTCATGTTCTAGCCAGATAAGACTTGTTTGTTTCCACATATGTTAGAGCGAGAGAGAGAGACGGCAGGGAGAGAGCAAGAGCTCGCGCTCGCACCACTGACAGCATTTGGGGGTCACTGAGGTTTGACCAGAGAGACGCTAGATTTGTCGCTAGTCGCTTTTAAAAACTAAAATCACTAAAGGGGTCTGAAAAGTCGCTATAATAGTGACAAAGGCTCTGAGTTTAACACTGATTCAGTCTCACGCCGCTTCCACACGTCCACTAGACAGGGATATTACGACACTCATAGATAACCACACGCTTCAGCCTCTGTTGGAGCAAGAGTGGATAACTTCTGTCAACCTCGGCTATAAGCGAGGAAGAAAATAAAGCCATTTCATTTGAATCAATATCGATTCTGGAATAAAAATAATACATTCAGATCGTAAACAAAAAAAATCATGATAGTTTGGAGAATTTTTTTTTTCGTTTCCAGACCTAACACACACACACATACACACACACCCATTCCTTAACCCTTGTGTTATGTTGCGGGTCAATTTGACCCGTTTCGATTTTCAAGTTGTTGGAAATACTGGTTAACCTTTGTTTTTTTTCTTGATATTTTGTGACTTTTTCTCATTTATCATGATGAACATGCATGCAAAGCAAAGTTTCAACATGCTGATGTGTTTTGACATATACAAACAAAATTACTGTTACGTTTGTGATGTTCGCGGGTCAATTTGACCCTCATAGACAGCCATTCAAAAGCAACTGTACAGACACAAAATAAAAACATTTATTTTCTGTATGTCAGGGCACTTCAACTCCAGTTCTAACGTGCAAGTGCATCTAAAAGTGCTCTAACCCTAACCAAACACACTTGAA